GTCCCCCATTTTTAATTGCTCTTCTACCTTCCATGTTTTTCTCCTCTAGCTTCTGCAACAAGGCATCTGGTTCTTCCTTTTTCCCTTGATGTCTTTAATTATGTTTCCTATTTTCAAACACTCGTTGTTTTGAAAACTGAATGCAACTCCTGCTCCATCTCGTTTGTGTACACACGCATCAGTTGTTCTTGGTTCTCCATTTTCCCTTTTTCCTCTTCGAACGGCACCAGCAACCTTCTTTTTTCATCTTTCCACTTTCTAAACTTTTCAACACAATCTGCTCCAAGTTCATCATTTGCAGCACTGAGATGCCTGGTGACCTCTCTATTATTTAAACTATCGGTTAAATCTTCATTTATCTGCTGAGAGCCATTGATTTCATCTTCTTTTTCAAACAGTTGTTGGTTCAGATTCTCAATTTTGAACATAGCCTCCAGTATCTGATTGGCATGTGCATCATAGGATTTCTTCATGTTCTGAAGTAGATTTACCTTGTGCTTGAGTTTCTGGATTTCAGCTCTAGCGTCTTCGAGTTCTTCATGAACACCCATATTGCTAGATATTTTACACATACGACATTCGAAGATCCTGTTTGCCTGCACTGATGCATGAACCCAAACTAAAACCAAGAATAAGAAAGGAACAGAGACAAAACGAAAAACAAGAAAAAAAAAAACATGTGCAGTATGATGGCTAGATTTTGATTCAGATAAGAATCGTTGAGCAGAAACAACAACTTGTCTTTCAAGTTGACTTAGATTATTTCACCCTCCCAAACAGATTGTCTAAATTAGAAAACCAGATGCAAGAGATGTTTGAACTGTTGCTTGAAGCTACCACACAGTTTGATTTACACGGGTTTTTTCCACATTATTAGGGAGATTTTGTTCCTCTAAATCAGATCTTCTTGTTATAAATCAGAGGTACAAAAGTTACAGAATATATGATCTGCTTTCAACAAAAACAATGCCAAAATATTTGGATGTTATAAAACATAACTTGAATTTCGAGGAACACCTTTTACTTCAGATTTCATCACACGAGTACTTCCTAGTAAAACTATATATGAATTTATCATAGGAAAATGCTAGGAAGTATCATAATTTATATTAATCTTACATGCAGTATGTGTTTACAGTATTAGCCAGAACTATGAGCAATGATAGTTTTAGACTATCAACAAACCCCCACAAACCATTTTCATGTAACACGATGTAGCCCTCCAAAGTCCACAAACCATGAAAAACTTCCAATTTAGAACCTCTAGTTGTAAGATGTTTACAACACAGCTAGCTAGATTCCTCTGAAAGTCCTAAGAATAGAAAAAGGAACACAATCCTATGTTTTATTATAATCAATTCAATATCATCATGGCTGCATACATGTCTAAAATTAGAAGTTAAATAAAATCCAATTCCTCCATTTCAATGTTTGATTGATTCTCCCTACATTGAGCTACCCTCATTTTCAAATGGTTTCTTATGATTGAACTAGACATATTAGATTGCATTTTGCAGACTCTAAACCATACATTCAACATTAAACAATGCTAACAATAAAATAAAATGGCTAAAATTGTTTCAACATGTGAACCAAAGACTTTAATAAGGTAAAAGAAATAAAGAAGTGAAAGACAAAAAACTGACCTGAGTTTGAAGGAGGAAAGTGTTGGTGAAAAAAATGGAGGAAGGAAAATCCAACAAGGAGAGAATAGGGAAGGTGGTTACAGCCTAAAACTTTTATTAACCATAAATTAGACCGTAACGGCTTTCTAATCACAAATGTTTTAACTTCAGCTAGGCGTTGGAATGGTGCTTCTATTGTAACTTCCAGGCCCAGCCCAAAAACCTGTTTGTTTGATGTCTATTGTAGGATCCTGTCCTCTTTTTGAGTGTTTCATCTTACACTTCTAATCATCTTCTGCATCTCCAAAAATTTCATTTTTTAACTTTCTAATATCTCACTCCTTATCCTCTCTTCAATTTTTTCAAAAATTTCATTTTTAACTTTAAATAAATATTTTTTTCATTTTCTTCTTTTCTTATTAAAAGTAACTATGCACCACCTAATCAAATTAAATTTTAAAATTCAAATATTATTTAATATAAGTTTTTATATTTTAATAACAATTAAAATATGATTTTATTATAATAATATTATCATCTAAAAATATAACCAATAGAATAATTACAATAAAATCCAAATTTATTAATAGATCATATTAAATCCATAAATTATTTAAATAAATATTTAAATCGATTTAACTATATTACAATATTTAAATTAACTAAATAACTATTAAATTTAATAAAAATAAAATTTTAAAAACAATTATCAGATGTCTACCGATTAACAAATTTTTCAAAGTTTTGTTTTCGTAAAAACTTAAATAATTATTAATTTTAATTTAATATTTTAATATAATTTAATATATTTAAATATATTAAATGTGATTTTAAATATTATTTTCATTTTCATTATTATTACTCTTATTTTAATTATTATTATTTTAGTTTTTTTTAATCAACCTAATTATCAAAATATAAATCATATTTTTAAATAATTATTAAACTATAAATATAATAAATAATATTACAATTTTTAATTTAAATTCAATATTTTATTAATTTTAAATAAAAAGCCAAAATGTTTACATATTTTACGGATTTTTAATATCTGATAAACAATTTTTTAAAATTTTGGTTTTTATTATTTAAAATTTAATAATTATTTAAATTGAATTTTAAAATTTAATATATTTAATATATTTGCATATATTAATCAAATTTATTATTATTATTATTCTTTCTTCTTATTGTTCCCTCTTCTTTTTCTTGTTTTCTTTTTGTGTTTTTCCTCTCCCTTATTCTTCTGCTCTCCCTTCTCTTTTCGTCCTTTCCCCTCTCCCATTCTCTTCCCTCCTCTTTCCCGTTTCCCTCCCTTCCCTTCTTCTTCCGTTGACGAGTTTTTTTTTAGTATGAGAGCCCCCCCCTGACCCCCTATTTATTACCGTTCCCCCCTGCCCCGTTTTACTTGAAGGTGCAGAATATTACGTTGACGTTAACCAATCATTTTTGGAGTACAGAAACGTTTATGATGCCCCACTCCTATCTCATTTTACGGTCAAACACCTTGGCCCTCCTTTTAACCCCCTATTTTCCCAGGTTTTTTTTACTATTGTTATTTTCCTCTGTCCTCGTATCCGTTTGGAAGAATCAAATTTAGTGTGTGAAACTGACCCTATTAAAAATAAATAAATTAACAAAAAAGAAAAAAAATTACAATATTTAATGAGATTGAATTAATAAATTTTGATTTTTCAAAAAGTGATAACGCACATATTTGTACTTTACACTCATTAGAAACAAATCAAATAGTACTTTTGTTTTTAAAATATAAGATAAAATTGATAAATCAAGTAGAAAGTTAAATATTAATTTTTATTAAATATTAGAAAAATGTATGTTTATTATTTTAATTTTTTTTAAATCGTGTTGGCTTGGTATATTGGGCTTACATGAAATTGTATGCTTTCTACCTTACTTTCATTGGCTACCATTTGGTTATCATATTCCTCTTCTTTTCTTAATGGTAAATATATATTATGTGATTTTTATTACTCAAAGTATATCCTTATTTATCTTTATGATTTCTAACTTTTATGCATTTTGTCGAGTTAATTTTCTAAAAGAAAGTATTACATTCTTTTATAAGAAAATACCCATTGTTTTTAGTTATACTGTTTTGTACAATAACATATTTAAGGAACAGTTTAAACATCAGGAAGAGGAGGATGAAACACTTAGAGAGCAGTTTAAAGCAAGTAAGGAGGAGTGGGAGTTGCAAAAGCATACATTGCTTGATAAGATTTCTTTACTGCAGTTATTGTTAGACAACCATGTAAGAAAAGCAGATGATCTGCAACACCAGTTACTGATGTGCAAACAAGCTCTTGCTGACGAAGAAAGCCAACGAAAGCGTCTGGAAGATGAAGTCTCAAATTTGAAGAAAGAGAAAGAAGAGGAGTGTTTTCAGCTGATGAAGCAGTTAGAGTTGAAAAATGCTGCTTTGATCAGTGCCCAGAAAGATATCAATGAATCAGCATATCAACTCTTCGAAGAGAAAGTTTTGGACATGCAAGTTGTTTTCAAAGAACAACTTGCGGAAGCTTATGATGCTTTAGACAGGGCTAACATTGAACTGGATGAGAGAATATGTGAAATAAGTGAAATGGAGTTTGAATTGAGGATATGGAAGTCACTTGTTGAACGTTTGAAAAATGGTCTTGAAGTAAATCTTGTCATGCGCAGAGAACTGGAAAATTCACTCCTTGATCAAGTACATTTTAGTGAGAGCCTCAATCAAGAAAAGTATAGCTTGATTTGTAAGTTGGAAGAGAGAGAAAATGAAATAGATTGTCTGCAGCAACAAGTTTTCCTATATGAACAAGAACCAAAAGTAAAGGAAACAGAAGCTTCTGCCCCAGGAAGAGGGTTAACATCCGAGTCCTCTGAAACTGTGGAAGTGAGTTATCTCCAAATCATAGAGGAGAAGAACAAGATTTTAGAGGAGTTTCAAAAGGAGGTTCTTCGGCTACAACAAGAATCGTATAGAAAACAATTTGAAAGTGCCGTGATTGCACAAAGAAATATGGAAAGAACCAATGAGGATGAGGAAGGGACTCATAACCAGATTATTGAGGGAAACTATAGTAGAACAGATGAGATCATGCAGCAGGTGACTTCACTGGAACAGAAGTTCACTAGCATCTTGACCTCCATTTCTTCACAGCTTTTTGAGAAACAGGCTGAAATTATTCATGTCAAAGAAGCTTGCAATATGATCACAGCAGCTGAGGTTCTAGCAGCTATTGAAATTGAAGAGAAGAAATTGATGATAGAGGAACTTGAGGATGATATATATGATTTAGAGCAGAAACTGAAATTGCAAGAGATAAACATGAAGCAATCAGAACAGCTTGCATTGGATGTTGAAGAGGAAATGAATGCAAAACAGGTCAAAGCGAAGGAGTTGGTTGATGAAATGGAGAAGAAGCTAAGAGACTCAGATGCTTTTCTTCAAAAGGTTAAGATAGACAATAGAAGTTTGCTTGAAAGTGCTACAAGATTGTCATCATCAGAAAGGGAAAACTTGATTAGTTTTGTTCAGGGATTAGATGATAAAATGTATGAGTGCACTACTGCAGACACTCAACTAATGGATAGATTGAGAAGATTAGTGCAATGTTTTGAGAATGATTATCAAGGAATGAATTTGAAAAAGGATGATGAATTGGTTGTGAAAGAGAATATGATGATGCATTCTTCAACGGGGTTAAAGAAATCTGAAACCTTTTCTGAGCTAAGATCACCATTTAAGTTGCTCAATGTTTAGTTGCAATAGGGAAAATATTTGGTAGAGGAATGAGATGTGCCTCCTAGAGTTTTAGCAAAAGCATCACTCAGCTTTGAAGCATGAACAATTCTAGATTCTAGAAATGTACATGAAG